TAAGAACACACGCCGCCGGAACGTACTCCTCAGGCCGTGGATCCACAGGTGTTTTGTCGGCGACACATTGGGAAGAAGAAGCTTTTTCTTTTGGAGGGACGGTTTTTGATGTTTTCACCATTTTTGGATTTAAAGAAGATGACAAAGATTTGGTGGTTTTGAAGAAGGATTTTGCAGAAAAGAATCGCAGATTTGCGAATGAACTCAGAAGATACGAAAAGAAATTTGGAAAATTTGGAAGATTAAAGATGTAAAAGTGATAAATGGTAAAAGGAAGGGCTATTTATAGATTGAAGCAATGGCGGTTCAATATCAGCGGTGGCCGACCACCGTCTGACACGTATTAAATGCCTTGGTAAGCTAAATCGACGGGACAGCTATCACGTACATCATGATCGGGCTCGATGCAAACGTCAGCGCATATCCAATCGAGCCATTGATAAATCATATCGTTTCTCACCGCATCCTTCTCGAGAAATGAGGGGACTATCTGTATACGGTCGAAATTAATTTCGGTCTTTTACGATTGATCGAGATGGGATCATAGTGGACCAAAGGAAGACTTTGTAATATCGAGATGGGTTCCAAAGATGGTACAAACGAGCTTCAGATTTTAGGTATAGGTCAAACACCGAGTTCGAAGTCATTATCGAGCTCGTGTCCGAATCGAACTATGATGAGATATTATAGAATCGAGCTTAAGGGGCAAAGGCCAACCGATACCGAGCCCGAGTCATTACCAGATCCCAAGTCGGCATCGAGCTCAAGTCCGCGTCGAGCTCTAAAAATAATATTGACCAGCACCGAGTCCGATCAAGCTCGAGCTCATAGACAAGAGCCGTTGCAACCGCACTAAGGGAGAGAATCTCGGCGGAAATTAGGAAAAAGCTGATTTATCATGGGTTTCCCACTATATATTTTTAATTATATCTAAAGTAGGATCCTCCACTATAAGAGGATGGCTACATTTCTGTAAAGGGCAGTTTTTATCTAACATTGTAACAAAAATACCATACTCTCATATATTGAAGGATTATTTTTTTTGGCTTTATAGATTAATTCATCTTGCTTAGTCCTTAAATCATCTTCTTTCCAACCTTGTGTATTTTTTATTCTTTACAATTCGTATTTGATAATTTCTATTTATCCTTACGATTTGTGTTAAGTTATACCAAATATTCTTAGAACTACGTACAAATTCAACTTTAACCATTTTTTCGGATAAATAGCGATAACTAATCAATGATTTTATAACCACCGGTAACAGTCTAACCGAGTAACAAAAACCAAGTTGCCATCATTGAAAAATGACGCCAGCAGCCCAAATGAATTTGAGAGGCGTTAAACAACTAAAATACAGCTTTGGTTGAGCTTGACTTCTGATGGCCGACCAAATAAGAAGGAAATAAATCATTAGCTAAGATGAAAGCATTTGGATGTTTACCATTATGGTTTCTGTTTTTAAATTTAAATTTAGATATTTTTGAAGCTTCTAATAAGCTCTCTATCTAAAATCTGAAGTAGTTTTGGTGTTGACAGGGGAGAGAAAATGTAGATTTAATTAGGGGAAAGAATCTATCTATCTATATCTATATCTATTTATATTATTATAAAAGTACGAATAATTTGTATTAAATATTGAACGACTAAAATATCCCCGAGATATTGATTGACTTTTATAACCTTAAATATTTGTATAATTTAAGGATATAATTGTAAATCATCTAAGGCTAAAATTCTTTTTCGATTTAAACTACACATACGGTCAAGCCTACTAAGTTGAATTTGGGTCAAATTCGTTTGGGTCTTTATCGTTTTGCGTCTTTGTGATAGTAGCCTACTTCTTCTCAGACAATATAAAATTTCAATGGCGTCATACCAATCCTACTTGGACTATAACCGGACAAACAAGGTTAGATTCAAATATTTATCTCGGCCGCAAACATAAAGAGCAAATGAATTAAAACTCGAGTGATTCAAAAAAAAAATATTATGAAAGAACTGCGAAGAAACTAATATAAATACATTTCCTTCTTAATCTATTATTTGGCATGTGTAACAAAACTTACTAAAAATTGTTTGAAAGCAATATGACTCACTATCACACGACTACTGAATAAGCATCCTCTTCAAATGACTTAATTGTTTAACGTAGCAAAATTATAATAAAATTCAGGAATAAGTTTCGAAAGACTTTACAAAAAAGACAAATATTGATAATATGATTTGTTTTTAAAGCATGCTTTTAATACGATGTTCTTTCGTTTTGAATCCAACTATTATGTTGATAATATGATTGATTTTTAATTTAAAAGATTGTATGTAACTTTTAATAAATCTAATTTCTTGTTCTTTCATATATCTATAATAAATTTAATTTTTGCTCTTTTATATATAAATAACTGACTAAACATTTACGTGCAATGCACGTACATAGAGACTAATACTATATTAAAAGCACGAAGGCCTTTACCGAAATGTCGTTCGTCTTTTTTACCCTTCATAAGTATCATATATGTTGGATAAAATTATAATTCCAACTAAATTTAGATATTTTATTTGCTTTAATTTCATTCCAAATTTGGAGACTTAAATAAATCTGTGTATATTAGTTTTTGTCAAGCCCGAGTTAGAATTAAACATTAAATTGTCATCACAATTAATGACAAATAATACGTCCAAGTAACAATTCTATTTTACTTCAACCAGAACAATCATTAATGTATCATCACAATTAATAATTACCCGAAAATGAGCAATTACACGTGGATGTAACAAAATTCTATTCCATCCCGAATTTCTTCACCATTAGAGTCGTCCATGTATATTTGTTTTTGATACCAAGTCTTTGTGGAGTCCAACTTAAAATCAAACATTAAATTATCATCACAATTAATAATTCAGTATTTTAGTTATTCTTATATTTCTTTTAAAAATTAAACCCAACTAAGTTGCAATAATTAAATTTTCAAAATAGCTAAAAGGAAAGAAAGGAAACCAAATTCCTAAAATCTTACATATGTATAATTCAATATTTTGTTATTCTGATTTTTTTTATAAGAAAAATTGAAACCAGCTAAATAGCAGTATATTTCAAAATTACAAAATCGAGGAGAAGAAACTGATTTTTCTTAAAGTAAAATATGCAAAGAATTTTTTAGGAAATACTCCTAGGATAGAGGTTTCTTCTTTGAAGACTATGTCAGTGTTAAATTGAGTGTTTGTGCTCCTTTAAGCATGTAATTTGCCGTAAACTTGTGATAGGGTATGTTGGTAGCAATATGTTGATGCTTAGATTTATTTTTCTTATTAGAGAGGAATATTTGGTTGATGGTTTTTTTTAATATGTTGGCGGATAATTGAGGACTTCTAAAATTTATATGACTTTTAAAAAGTTATTAACCAATTTAGACAGGGTACAGGGGCGGCTCAAGCCTAAAGCCAAAGTTTAATATGATGCCTAAATTTTTAAAAGAAAGTTATAAGATATGTTTTTATTTGAAGTCTATTCTTCTAACTTTTTGAGATATAAAGTTGTTAATAATATTTTTATAATCAATTTTCTCTAATAATTCTTGCTCGATTTATAATATAGCCAACTTGTTTAATCTTTCTTGAGATATTGTTGATCTTAGATAAGATTTTATAAAGTAATAGAAGTATAGAACTATTGTAAGCTTAAAAGTATTGTTGAACACTTGAACTAGTGAAATTTTAGAAAAAGAAGGTGAGTAAGAATATCAACGAGAAATACAAAAATAGATAGGGTTTTCTGAAATATGAAGAGATTAGAAAAAAAAAAGATTGACTTGGACAAATTAAGGAAGAATGAGCAAATTTTTAAATGGAGGAACAAAAAAATGGGAAACTGAAGGTTAGGAAAGTTATTTATTTATCCATTTTTAAGTAAGTCAAATTATTATTTTATTTATATATCTAAAAAAAATCTTTCTTTTATATTAAAAACTCTACTTTTATATTAAAACCTCTACTTTTGTAAGTCAAATTATGATTCTGTAGCTTGATGTTCAGACCTTTTGTTGTTTCATTCTGGACTGGATGTCGAAACTGACTGCTTTTATTTCCTAGTTAACTTTCTACTAGTTACTGTTTTGCTATGCTCTTATATTTGTGTATGACTGACTTCCTATGCTCTATTTAGTGTACTCTATATGTGCGTTGTTTTTCTTGTTACTTGATGACAAAGGCGGGAGAAAAAGGAACAATTCAGGAGTAACTATGTAACAACTCCAGAAGAAAGAAGGAAGCTAAGATGCAGCTATACCAAACAGACCCGAGACAATCCATTCAGAAGATTGAAGACATATAAGGAAAGAATGAAGCAAAGACACAGCTAGACAAGAGGAAAAATAATCTATTTGAAGGCAAATGTTTGAAAACCTCTAGCTTTATCTTGGAAAACATTAGGCATATATAAAAATTTTCCAAGGATCAAATCCTTTGGGTTGAATATCTCTATCCCTCCGAGATCACTTAAGATTTACATAAGTCAAGGAAAACTTACCAGAAATCAAGAAAGATATTCTCAACGGCTAGCTCAAATCTACCGGGCTATATATATTGAAGAAGAGAAAGACGAAGCTGTATACAGTCGGCTACCCATTCACAAGTTCTCTCTTTTACTCTTACCGAAGCATTATATTTCACCTAAAGTAGATTTACTTTGTAAATGAAAGAGAAAAGAACCGGAGAAAAACAAATTATTGGTGAAAACATTGGTGGTATGCATAGGAAATCCACCTAGTATCGTACTCAAGTTACCACAAAGAGCTTACAGATATAACTCTCTTGCAATCCAAGGAGATTGGATTAGGATACCACATTAGATTCGAACTGGTATAAAATATACCTGTCATTTATATTTTCTGCAATTTACTTTTCAGCAAGCTATTTACAAAGGCTACAATTCAATTGATCATCCCCTCTTCTACTTTCATATTCAAATCAAAGGCGGTGCATCTTCTTGACTTATTTGCATTTTACTTCATATGCAGTCGATAAGTAGGAATTGCCATTAGATGCTGAGCTCTAGCTGTTACTAAACCAAATTTTTCAGTCATGTCAATATGTTCTGGCAGCATGCCATTTGGTAGCTCCCAATCAAAGCAGTGAATCAATTGTGCAACCACCAAACGAACGATGGTAAGTCCAAGCTGCAAACCAGGGCAGCTTCTTCTGCCAGAGCCAAATGGTAAAAGTTGAAAATTTTGTCCTCCAAGATCAATGTTGCTTCCTTGAAACCTCTCAGGTTTGAACTTTTCTGGCTCAAGCCAAGTGTCCGAATCTCTCCCTATTGCCCAAACATTGACCAAAAGTCGAGATCCTTTAGGTATATGAAAACCATCAATTACGCAATCCTCAATGGACTCATGAGGAATAAGTAATGGAGCAACTGGATGGAGCCTACAACTTTCTTTTATGACCATATCCAAATATTGTAGGTTTTCAAAGTCTAATTCTTCCACCATTCTGTTTTTACCAACTACTTGTTCCAACTCACACTAAAGTTTTTTCATCACATCAGGGTGCCTTAAAAGTTCTGTTAAAATCCATTCAATTGTTGTTGATGAAGTATCCGTAGATGCTATCAGCAAGTCCTGGATACATCAGTATATTCTTTAGCTATTAAACTCACAGCATACTAAAAATTGGAAATCTAAAATTTGCATTCTACGATTTAAGGAGCAAAAACATACTGCATATTTTATTAGGCTTTTTTCTTTTGGCCCTTCGACCAAAATTAATTGCAGGCGCTAGTCAGCATATAGAAAAGGACTGTAGCCAGATTTCCAACTATACTCAACTATTACGGGGTCTTATTATCCCCTAAACTATTTTAAAATGGAATAAATTTACCCTTAAAATATCACAACCATATCTATGTTGTGTGATGGAGTACCCGTGCCTCAATATTTTTACTTTTTTCCAGTTTTTTTCAATCTTCTCCTTTCTTTCTCTGTTCTTTCTCTCGCCTCCATTATCAACAACCCCAAAATTACCATTATCATACCTGCTTCATCAGACACAATATCTTTACCACCTTCAAAAGAAAATTTTGACTTCCACAATTTTTATTTCACCTATTATCGCATTCATCACCACCTTCTTTTTCCCCCAAACCATAGAACTTTATTACATTAATACAAACATAATTTCAACTAATTAACGCCCGATCAATTAGAGTACAACATAAAAGAAAGGTAGATCTATTAATCCTCGAGAACTTCCCAGAGGATAGTACAAAAATAAAAATAATTTAGAATCGTTATCGTCATCGGTGGTTTTGATAATCTCAAGTTTAGAGTTGCCAAACCATCATTATCTTCATATATTAATTCAATAGTTGATAGTTTTTACTGGATCTTTATTGTTGCTGCAAAATGAGGATGTACGGGTAAAAATAAAAGTGAAGGAAGATGAAAATGGTAAGCTGGACTCCATTTTTTCCGGTGAGGAGTTCGTCGAAGTTCTTGTGGGAATCCCTTACAGTGGCCGGAAATAATTAAATGTGTTGGAGATTGTGTTTATTAATAAAATATAACTAATTGTAAAGTATCCAATAGTAAAAAGATATATGTAGACATTTAATAAAATTTCAAGACAGTTTTATGTTCTCACACGCCTCCAAGAAAGTGAACACATTTTCTGTGCCACGTCATCTCTCAAGGGGATATTTATTCTACTTTAAAATAGTTCAGGGGGTGATAAAACCCTAGCAAAGTTTAAGTGTGTAATTGGAAATCCGACTATAGATCGGGGGTACTTATGCATTTTTCCTATAGAAAACACACACACTTAAGTATATAAAGTGTATATTTATGTATAATATATCTATCTTTATAGTTAATATACAAAACATACATATTTGGTGGAAACAGTCTCTTGCAGAAATGTAGGGTAAGATTACGTACAATAGATTCTTGTGGTCCGGACCTTGCACATAGCGGGAGCTTAGTGCAAGAGGCCGCCCTTTATACAAAACATACATATTTCCCTGCTATTATTTTGGAAGGGAGTATGCGCTTTTAATTTTTCCATTATTCTGAATACCATAATGAGCATCATTCACAAAGGTTTAAAACCATAAATAGCAGACAAAAACCAATGCACAATTAGACTATTCAGAGTGAAAATTACCAGCAAAACAGCCTTGACATGTCGACGATCAAACTCGAATTCAGCTTTTTTAGATTGCATAATACTCATCAGTGTATCAACCATGTCTTTTGCTTGCTTCTGCTCAGTGGATTGAACATGCTCGTCGATAACCCTCTCTAAGAACCCATCAAAAAGCTGAGCTAATTCCTTCATACGACGAGCAAACCCCTGGAGATCAAGAACACGAAGGAATGGAAAGAATTCGGCAATATTTGGCAATGCTGCCATGTGAAGTATATCTTGAATCAAAGCTTTGAAGCCCTTTTCGCCAAGATCCTCGTCCATGTACTTCTTCCCAAATATCATTAGGCAAGACATGTTCGCGCTAAGAGATGCAACTTTAGCACTAAGATCAATCACAGTGCCTTCAGACGCCGCGTGTCTGAGGAAATTCACAAGAATTCCAACTTCTTGTTTCCTCATAGGCTGAAATTGATGGATCTTGGCGTTGCTTAGCAATTGCAGAGTGCACAATTTGCGCATGTTTCTCCAATATGGTCCGTATTTGGCTGAGACAAGATTCCTCCGTTCATAAAAGATGTACTGAGAAACTTCATGGTACGGTCTGCTGGCAAAAGTCGAATCGTGGTTTTTCAAGAATTGTTCTGCAACATGAGGAGAGGAAGCAACAATGACAGGTACAAGACCAAAGCGGATAGTCAGTATAGGGCCATATTTCTTGGCTATTTTGTAAAGATCTTGGTGAAGATTATCGCTTACCATGTGTAGATTTCCAAGAATTGGAAACCCTCTTGGCCCTGGTGGAAGTTTCTTCTTTTTTCGCATTAATTCTTGAAGAAGAAAAAACAGGACAATTAATGCAATAGCTAGCCAGAGAGAAGCCATGGATGGAATTCACACACCCTTTTTGCTACTACTAATTTAGTTGTTGAAATGGTATAGTACTTATAGCTCTTTCTGGGAGCAGAAAAATTGCTGTGGAAATGGAGGGGAAAAGGATAGACCACAGAACAAAAAACTAGAAATTTTATTTAGGGAAAAGGTAACAAAAATACTCCATTACTTGGGGAACACGATGGTCACTTATTGACGGTCATATTTAAATGGAAAAATTCATATATAGCTCTTCAACTTGTGCACCGACTTCAAGTATACAATTTAACTATGCTATTGATAATTTAAAGAAAAGTGTGTTGGTGAGACCCTCCGCCTTGATTGTTTGCTGGCATTTTTATTGGAAATAAGGTTCATTCCCACATTGGAGAGGGGAGGACGTAAAACGCTTCTTTACAAAGGCGACTCCATATCCCGAACTCGAACTCGATGATTAAGAATGAAAGAGTATTTAACACTCTTGGTATAAAAGTAGACTGTGAATTAAATGGTACGAGTAAAATATGGACCGCCGAGAGGAAATTTTCGTGTTCATTTTATCATCACATGGAGAAATTTAATGGCTGATAAATGCATGTACTATAGCTACCCCTGTAAATATTTATGCTACTTGACAATTTTGATCATCTGTCTTATATGCATTTATAGGTGGACCACTATTTGAATTGCTAGTTGTTGGTTTCTAGCTATGGCTCTGCACATTTTGTTAGCTACCTACCCACTTTTCAAAAAACAATTAAAGGAGGCCTCATACCAATAAATACTAATGTCATTTCTTTTATTGGACAAGCCAAATGAAATCTTCCAATGATGGGTGGCCATGACACATTATATTCAAATATCTCTAGTTGATTTAAAATAAGTAAAATCTAGTTCTTCCCGAACCATTAAATATTTTTTTTTTTAAATTATCTATCATGTAATATGAAACTTATTTCCCTGAAAGATAGAAAATTCAGCATTTTGTATTCCCACTCTAAACTTTGTTGGTAAAATTTACACTCTTTTTTAACTCTTGAAATCACCTCCTACACAATCTATTGTGTTAATTAAGTTGGTCCTCGTAATTTTAAAAGTTTTTTTTTCCTTTTCTTTTGGAACCGTATAGGGGTACATTTCTTCTGTCCATAGCCAGCAAAAGCGTCTGCCACATAACTGGCCTCCCTGAATAGCATTTTGGTCAGATTTTGAGATTTTTTTTTTTTTTTAAAATACTTTTTAAAAAAGTACTTTTTGTGAGAAATATTTTGTGTTTGACTAATTAATTTAGAAAGTACTTTTGAGTAACAATTAATGTTTGGCCAAGCTTTTAAAAAGTATTTGTAAGTATATTTTTCTCAAAAGTGCTTTTAAAAAAAGTGCTTCTTGGGAGAAGCTACTTTTTTCTGCTTCTCAAAAACTGCTTCTACTCAAAAGCACTTTTTTTCTTAAAAAAACTTGGCAAAACACTTTAACTTTGAGAAAAAATAATTTTGACAAAAAAAATACTTTTGGCCAAAAAAAAAACTTGGTCAAATAGGAATATGTAGCTAATGTCCTGCGAGCTCATGGTGTCAAGGGATACATCATTGTTGATATTAAAACCAACAGAAAAAGGTCAAAATTGTCTTTGTACTATGGGATATTGTTTAAAATTGTCCTTCGTTATACTATTTAGTCGATTGGATCCCTACTGTTACCCCTAATTTAGACGGCAAGCCACGTGTCACTCCCAGACTCAATTGACCCATACCTCATTTAAAATACCTAAAGTCTCTCTTATCTGCCCCGTTACCCGACCCTAAACCTGCCACTCTCAATTAACTCCACCTCAATAGCATTTGGTTGGCGCCACGGCTGTATTAAATATCACATGCCACCCTACCAGCACCCTACTACTACTACTCCCCCTTAGCACCGCCACCTCTTCCTCCATCGTCGTTGTACTATTACCGGATAATGATGTCATCTTAGTCGGATCATGAAATAAAACACTGTTTGGAGATGGTGAAGAACTATTAGTGAAAAAAAGGAAGAACACTAAGCGTGAAAACTTGAAACCCAAAACTAAACTGATCAAAGAGCAAACCCCATGTGGCACAAGCCAGAAAATAGTCGCCGGAGACTTAACATACCCATCAGACAACGAATCTAACGATCCTCTAAAGTTGTTGCTCCAGCGACCTTGTTGTAACGCTGCTAACCGTTTCATTTTTTCAGTATAAAATTCAAAATGATGTCAAGATCTTGAAGAATCCTCAATTTTAGTGAATAAAAGAGTGGTCTTTAAGATTTTTGAAGAGAAAAAGCGTTAGTTGGGGATAGTGATTGGTGAGAAATTAAAAGGGTTTAATCAAAGAAATAAAATGTTACTTTAAGCTTAAGAATCTTAAGGGGTTGCTTACCCACTCTGTTTTTATTATATTTGAATTTCAACGATTAAAAATGACGTCATGAACAACCAGTGGATGCTGAGAGAAGCTTCAAACGAAGAAGAAGATTTGACTAAAATAGATTCGGGTCAGAGATAGATCCGAATAGGGTGGAATTTTTTTCATGATAGTGGGGCGAACGAAAGGATAATTGAAAGTGACGATTTTAGGGTCGGGTATGGGCGGATAAGAGATGGTTTTGGGTATTTTAAATTGGAGATTGGTCAATTCAGTCGGGGAACGATACATGGCTTGCCGTCTAAATTAGGGGTAGATTTGAACAAGAGTATTAAGGTAGGGACCCAATCGACCAAATATAAAGAAAGATAATTTTAAACAATATCCAATAGTATAAGAGCAATTTTGACCCTTTTCCGTAAAAACAAACAAACAGAGTGAGACCTTAAATCAACAAACAAAAAATAAGAAAGTTGCCCGAAGACCCCAAAGCATCAAGAGCATTGCGCGCCAAAGCTGCACGTTATAGCTTCAAGAAAGGCCAGTTGTACAGAAAATACTTTCAAGGCCCGTTGGCTCGGTGCTTAGGAGCATCAGAAGCTAACTATGTCATGAGAGAAGTCCATAAAGGGATATGCGGCAACCACTCGAGTGCAGATTCTTTGGTGCTGAAATTAGTTCGGGTAGGATATTACTGGCCCCCGTATGGAACAAGATGCCAAAGGCTTCATACAAAAATGTGATAAGTGTCAACACTACGCACCACTAGTACATCAACTGGCAGAACCCCTATATTCGGTTATGTCCCCGTGTCCATTCATGAAATGGGGGATGGACATCATCGGACCACTGCCACTCGCTCCTGGAAAGGTAAGATTTCTTTTAATTTTGACTGACTATTTTTCTAAATAGGTGGAGGCATGTCCTTATCAGAAGATCGGAGAATGCGAAGTGGTCGACCTCCTGTGAAAAAATATAATTTGCAGATTTGGAATATCAAAAGAGATTACATGCGACAATGGGCCACAGTTTATCTGCACAAAAGTTACAAAGTTCCTTGAAGACTTGAAGATAAAGAGGATTACCTCTTCACCTTATCATCCGAGTGCAAATGGTCAAGCGTAGTCAACAAACAAAGTGATTATTCAAAACCTCAAGAAAAAGTTGGAAGCAGTAAAAGGCAACTGGCCCGAAGAATTACCTTGGGTTCTATGGGCCTACCGAACAACGGCCAAGTCAAGCACGGGAGAGACTCCTTTTTCCCTTGTATAAGGTGCAGAAGCTTTGATACCGGTGGAAGTGGGGGAACCAACCTTAAGGTATTTTGAGGAGAGCAAAGGATCAAACAACGAAGCAATGCTATCAACTTGGAGTTGCTCGAGGAACGCAGAAACTTGGCGCGTGTCAGAATGGTAGCCCAAAAGCAGATAATGAAGCGTTATTATAATCGAAGGGCCAACCTCCAATATTTCAAAGTAGGAAACTTGGTCTTGAGGAAGGTAACTTAAAACACTCGGGAACTCAACTCGGGCAAGTTAGGCCCAAAATGGGAAGGCCCTTACCGGGTTTCAGCTATCACTGGAAAAGGATCATACGAGTTGGAGAACCAAAATGGAGACAAGTTGCACAGTAACTGGAACGTGGATCACCTAAAAAGATATTACTTCTGACAAAAAACAGTCAAACGGAAAGTACGTGCTGCACTCTTTTTCACTTCGTTCAGTTTTTGTCCCAATTGGGTTTTTCTGGCAAGTTTTTTAACGAGGCAGTAATGGAAAGTATACTACGAAGACAACAATGATAAGACCTTTGATAACAAGGCAAATAAGCAAGTTTCCACTCGGGGACGATTAGATAATCTTTACTTCTATAGCAAATTCCCCCGGGAAGTTAAATTTGCTACCGAAAAGAGGTTACCCGATCGTTCACGAGCACAAACCACTAGAAGATTGTTAGGTATTCTTTCGCTCGATAGCATGGGTTCCTAATGGGAAACAAGATATGTTGCCGAGTGAAGGATTACCTAGCAATTCATTGGTGGGATCTTCGAAGGTATAAGGTTTCCAGTATTCCAATTCGCATTCTTCGCATTCGAACACTAGGGGAAATGATATGAGGTTACGGCAACACCGAATGCCAGGCAGCACTGAATGCCACATCAACTGGGGAACATAAATCCGGAACATAATACATCATAGTGTTCAGGGACTGCACAGTCAGCCTCGTAGAAACAAGTTGTACAAGATAGCCACAAATCATGGTAATTTGTTTTATAGCAACAAGTCATGGCAATTTCGTTTCTGCATAGCAAAATGCTTATGTACGTTTGAAAATAGAAGGAATTAAATGAAATGAAATCCTTTTGTTTTTATCTTGTTTCTTGTCTGAACGACGATTAATTTTACCATTTGAAAGTTAAACAAGTACTTCAAATGTTTGTGCCGTAATGAACAAGAGACGTCCTCTTCAAGAGCACCGTAAACATAAGAGGGTCCTTTCTTATAAGAACCCTCACGTTAAAGGGTTGGTTCTGGAAGAATCAATGCCCGAAATCCATAATGCCATCGGGGAAAAATACACCTGAAGCTGCATACGAAAAACACGCAAAAAGCAAAATTGCGCAAATACTTATTTAAACCCTCATGTAAAAGGGATAATTCTCGGAACCAAAATGCTTCGAAGAAAAAGCATCTGAGATTGCACACAATAAAGCACGAACAGAACAACATATGCAGAATACTTAAGCAAGTACGAAAGTTAAGGACTTGCATGAATATTCAAAACGAAAATAAGACTCAAACGATACTTAAGCAAAAAATATGTTTTTATTTACAAGGGAGCGTTAGAGTGATAAAGGTACAAAATAGAAAAAGAAAGAAAAATCTAAGCTGCAGCGTCTCCGGAATCAGCAGGAAGAGAAGTATCCGCATTCTCGGGAGTTGGTTCAACCGATGGCTTAATGTTTTCCCCAGCTTGGTCTTCGGCATCATCACCTTCCGATCCCTCTTCAGTTTCTAAAAATAAGGAACCGAAATCAGAAGAACCTAGAGCGTCAGACTGCGTCGGGAGTACATTTTTTGAAGCCAACTCAAGCTCTCTCGCCTTAGCAATTTTGGCATCAATGTCAATGATACCGGT